AAAAGCTGGGGCCGGAAAAGAGTGAGACAGGTAGCGCGCAAAAGTAAAAGTGGAACCGAGAGTGGTACGAGAGACAGAACGAGAGCAAGACAGACAGACATTACGAGAGCGAGACAGTTTGTCCCCGTACCACTGGTTGAAAACCACTGCTGTAGATCACTGCCGGTACGTGCGCTGGGAGCGCACCGTTTAAGTTTGAAAGTTGAAAAGTTTGTGTGTCTGAAACGCTATGTGATACAGTACAGTTTACACAGCACAGTACATGTTCTGTAGCTACTATTGCACTAAATGGTAACACTTGAATACGTTATGCAAATATGCAACTTGTTTGTTGAAATGTTAATAAATGGGAGCTTCCTCAAACAGCCATCTCTTTCCTGACAATCCCCTCTGTGCACGAACCCTTACATATGGTAATTAAACATTAAAACACCTGTGGCTTATAGTCCAGTGCGGCTTATATATGTACACATCATTCAATTTAGCTGCTGCGGCTTATATTCAGGTGCGCCTTATAGTCCGAAAATTACGGTATTTAAATAATTTATTTTAAAAGTATTTTTTTTCATTCAAAAATGGCAGGAATGCTGTTTTCAGCCTCTCAAATATGGAGACTTCCTGTTTTCCTTTTGTTTAATTCGTTTTTATAGGTAAATATCTTTGGGTTTTGGATTGAGATGTTGGACTTCAAGAAGCTGCAATGGACATTTTTCTCTATTTCATGAAAAAATGTTTAGACCATACCATTCATTGAGATAATAGTTTGCCTAATGATGACAGGCCTGCTCTGCTTTTTTCTTTTATTTAACGAGTATGAGAGGCCCCCAGTTTTAACAATCTGTAACTGAGTATAACCATTAAGGCAGCACTGGACAACAAGAGTTATTCCTATCAGTATGTTCCTTTTCTTTTCAGGAGATTGAGTTTATGTACAAGCCAGGCAACCTAAGTGCCCCCCCGGCTGTGGTGACTCCTCACCAGCCGCGGTTGGACTGGCAGATGTGGTTTGCTGCCCTCGGGGATCAAACACAGGCTCCATGGTTCACCAGCCTCATGTACCGCTTGCTGCAGGGCAAGAGAGATGGTATGCTGTTATTCTCTGTTTCCTATCATTCTTTGATTTCCTTAAAGGGAAATACAACTGATTGGGTGATGGGCAAAAAACAACACGGCTGGCTTGGCTTTTTTTGGGTTAAAACTTGAATGCTTACATTTTTGTACAACACATAATAGGAGATCACATCACTGTTGTGATAAGAAGTTAATCCAGCCCTGGATCTTTGCACCGCTGTGCTCACACTAATGCCTTGCCAGGGTTCATTCAAAAAGATCTTTCTTACCATTTATAAAAATGTTTGTAACATCTCTTTGCACCCAAGTTGTGCTAACAAGAAAGACTGCAGACAGAAATACACACACTTCTGCAGCATCTTTACTTTGATGACATCTGAATAAAAGTCAACAGTAACTATTTTTCATAAAATGACAGTACATCTTAGAGTTGTTAGTGTGGGACACAGCCCAACTTTGTTACAATGTTGTTGGACCAGGACTACATGTACGCTGTGCACAGTGTAGAAAATGTTCTCTACTCTAAATGATTCAATGTTAATGAAGGCAGTGTTTGTTGGTTTTCAGGAACAAGCTGATCTCAAAGCTTTGTTTTCTGTTGTGCAGTGATAGAGTTGATCCAGACGGACGTATCACAGTATCCGTTCCACCAGGAGCCCCCGGCCTACCTCCGAGCGCACCGCTACAGATACTGGTTTACTGAACCCAAGGCTGACGGGTCAGTGCTCTCTCTCTCTCGCTCTCTCTCTCTCTTGCTCTCTGAAGAAATCTTGATTGTTTTCAGCTCTGAAATGACATGCTGAAAGCACACATTCAAACGTTACTGCCAAACTCAAACTCAATAAACATTGTTTAATAAATTCTTCATCCAAAACCTTTTTTATTAAGGGAGTTTATGTAGGCAATTTTAGTTATTCATTACTTTTACTGTGTGAATACTTCCTGAAAACCTTTATTTACTTTCTTTGGCTGCTCTCTGTTGGCAGATCCTACCCAGAGCGTTGGTGGAGGCGGGTCTATGATGAGGAATTCTATCCCACGGTGCACTTGGGGAACACCTTCCTGGAAACCATGCTCACTCAGTACGGACTCAAGGTAAATGTATCTCAAAAACATATTTTTAGTAATATGGAAAACAAAAATGTTTGTCAGTTTTAGGGTTGCACATTTTAGGAAATAATTACTAATAGCATTTATTTAGACTGATATTGCAATTAAGATATGATTCAAAATAATGGAGTAATTGATCATATTTCTCATTATCATGGAATAGATATATTAAAATATTATGGAGTGACTTTGTAATGGAGATCTGTGCCAAACAAATACGTTTGTTTAATATGATTTGTAGGCTTGGATTACATAATACTTATTTTAAAATGGTATTTTTACACATGTTCTACGTTTTACCAAACATTGTGCTTTCTGCCATTTGATTATTTTACTGGTCCATATTGGGATTTAATTTAAATTGGAATTAAATGTGTAGCCCAAGTGGGCAGTGCATGTTACATTCCCAGTCTTAAATCTTTTGAACTCTTGTTAATATTCTTCTCTTTTGTCTGTAGGACAAATCTCCTCCGCGTCGTTTGCCTAACACCCCTGTGGCCAAGGCGGTGCGGTGGGTGCGCTCTCATGTCAGAGGAGTTCCTGCCCCCGTGCTCATCTGGACCCTCATCGCCTGCAGCGCCACCCTCTGTCTGCTCCACGGACTGCAGAGCAGGAACAAACACACAGAAAGAACAGCAGGCACTCAGAAGGAAGCTATGACCGATCAGAAAGCAAATGCACCTGACAGCGCTCCAGACACGGGTGGGAAGTCAGATGAAGAGCAGGAAGCAGAGGAAGAGGAGGAAGAGGAAGATGGAGGGGACTGTGAAGATGAGGTGGAGGACTGCGAAGGAGAGGAGAAATACCCTGTTGGGGACGACAAAGAAGAGGAAGACGGGATGGAAGCAGAGGAGATCCTTGAAAAGAGGAAGTTTTAAAAAGAAGATGCTTATCCCTTAATGAACTGTCTGTGATATCACCGTCTGCGTCTTCATAAATGTTACGAAAATGACCAAAGAAGTTATATGTGTATATTTGTAATTCCTGATCAGCCAATTATAGAACAAATCTCCCATCTACACTTTACTGCTTTTCATTTTCCTTATATCAGTCTGTTCACAATCACTTAATTCAGCAGATCAAGATGTTTATATTTTTTGAAAGAAAAGAGAACTATAAAAATGTAAATATAAGCAGTCTTCTGTTCCACTCATTAAGAGAGTAATGGTGGCTCATGTTACTCTTTGTGTGTGTTGTTGCACTATGTTAATTCAGGTGTGTGTTTGCAGGTGTTATTTTTGTTTGTTACTGTGATCTTTTGCTCTATCAGCTACACTCCACTTTTCCTTTTTTTATTTCCCAGACATATCAATTCCTCAAATGTACCAATGTACGAAATGAATCCCCAGACAAATTGATGTAGTTTGTTTTTAAATGGTTTTTTTACTACATATTAAAGAATAATACCAAAAAAAAGAATTCAGTACATATTTATCTGAAAAATGCAAACATCAGTTTTATAAATATACTTATGTGTATAAATTGAATGCCACTATACAATGTATATCATACATTGTATAGGGTACAGGTAATTAATCCAGCTTCAGTGTTAAAAGCAGTGATAGGACAAATCATTCTGAATTTCTCAAGTGTTCACTTTCTGTTTCTATATAGTGCTGCTGTTTAATTCAATGCTGTCTGTTTCACCACTTCAGTATTCCAGGGCAGTACTTGTCGATCAGAGACTGGTAGTACGGCTTCAGCTTGTCGACGTCGGGCAGCTCCGTGGTCTTTGTGTAAAGGTCAAATGCACTGGAGAGGATAGAAGATGCCGCTTCAGGTCGGAGCAATGAAAAGGATAACATGCACAGGACAAAGGAAGAGGCTCACTTGAACTCTTGGACCCAGGGCAGCATGCGCAGGTCTTTCTCGTTGCACAGGTGCATGTAGTCTCCGTGGGAGTGCCAGGGGTAGAATGAATGGAAGCGAATCATGTACAACCCCTGCAGGGAGACAGAAAAACAGTATCACTGCTGATGAGGTGAGAAAATATTTGCACCCTTTCTGTCTGCTTTAATTGTTTAATTCCCCAAAACATAACTTAAACAATAATTTAATGTTATAGTATACTGACCTCCTCTGGGATGGAGCAGTTATTGAACTTCAAAACTCTGTAGAGATATTCTGAAGACAACAATACAAGAGATCATAAACAATATTGAAGAAAAACAAGAACTTCAATGACTTCTGGTGTTCTAGTTGTTTGTTTTGTGTGTTAGAGTGTCTAACCATCATGGCCCCAGGACATGTGGACTTTGTCGAGGCCACAGTTTGGCTCATAGATCCCGAACTCAGTACTAAATAGTTTTAAAAAAAAGAGTCATTACTTAACAGAATAATTCCCATTACTTCTAAGAACAAGACTTTAGGTGACGTCAATAATTGTAGAACTACAAGTTGTATTGATTTTGGTCGTTATTGCAGATAAATACAAAACATCATTGTGTTTTGGAAAGGCTATGGACTACACATAAAGTTTAAAGGCAACCAAACAGGTCTCAAAAACCTGGCACAGAAAATGTTGCAAAAGTATGGGAAATTTAAAATACACATCCTTGGCTTCAGGGATAGACAATGTGCAGACTGATGATGTGAGATGACAATACTAACTTGTAGTGAGAATTCTTCTCATCTGGGTTATCCATGAAGCTGTTGTCCCTGAACACAATGGAGTTTTGATACTGGCAGCCCACTGGGAAGGTGTCGCCTACTACCGCCCACTGGAGAGCACACACACGCAAAGTATGAAATTAGGATTCATTAGGTTCGATGTATATTTTATAAAACATGTAGATAAGGTCAAGGGATTTCGTAATAATGATAAGCTGCTTTGTGGAGAAAAAAAATATTGAAGACCCGTCACAGAAAGAATTTGAGTTTTTGGGAAGACAGAACATTTCTTGGAAAAATGACATGACTTAAAAGATGACATTAAGGTACGAGATGAACTCTGGTTTAGCATTGCGGTTGTTCAGAGTTGGAAATTATATACCAGACCATGTGTCTACCTGAGGAACATCCCAAAGAGCCATTGTCTTCCCAACATCATGGATCAGACCCACCAAATGGAACCATTCTGGGGAGAGACAGTGAATACAGTTATCAAGTATGTTTTTGTACACAGTCTGTGTATTTCTGCTTCTCTCTCAGTATGGTACCATTGTCTGGGTGTGCCTGACGGATGCCCTCAGCAGTCTGGAAGGCGTGGTAGGAGTTGGGGAAATCCACATCAGGATCAGACTCGTCCACCAGCTGGTCCAGAGACATGATGGCGTCCATCATCCCCAGCTTAGTGTGGCTGCAGCCCGTCCACGCAGAGTTCTGCAAAGAGGTACGAGTCATAATAGTGCTGCAGAGGTTCAGTTTCTCCAACTACCACTAGAGCACCTAAAATAAAGATTTTGAAAAAGCTTTATATTTATTTAGTTTTATTTGAGTATTATCCCAATGAATTTTCAAATGATGTGTTATAAAAAGCTTCTGTAGATGGTTTACGTTTATTAAAACAGCTAGTGTCCATGTGCAGCCAGAGAATACAATACAATACAATATAGCTTTATTTATAGAGCACTTTAAACCTCCAGACCAAAGTGCTGTACAGGCAAATGAACAAAACAAAACATACAAAAAGTAACACAGCTCAGCTCACACACCATAAAACAAGTACAAGTAAAAACAATAGACAATTTAAAAGCAATAAAAGCAACGCTCTGAAAGATGTTAATACGCTAAGGAGAAGAGGTGGGTTTTAAGACGCGATTTAAAAGCAGGCAGTGTGACGGCCTGTCTGATGTGCAGGAGCAGATCGTTCCACAGTGTGGGAGCCGCTACAGAGAAGCAACGGCCCCCTCTGAGCTTTAACTTGGTTTTGGGCACATTCAGGAGCAGTTGATCCGTTGACCTGAGAGGGCGGTTGTGCGTGTAAGGGTGTAGCAGCTCACAAAGATATGGTGGGGTCATGCCATTTAGGGATTTAAAAGTAAATAAAAGGATTTTGAAATGAATCCTAAAATGTATTGGCAGCAAGAGCGAAGCCAAAATGGGGGAGATGTGGTCATATTTCCGTGTGCCAGTTAAAAGCCTTGCTGCGGGATTTTGCACCTGCTGCAGACGAGCGAGGAAGGACCCACTGACCCCCTTGTAAAGAGAGTTACAGTAATCCAGCCGAGTGGTGACAAAGGCGTGGATTACTGTCTCAAACTGCTGTCTGGGGAGAAAAGGTTTTACTTTGGTAGGCTGCCTCTGGTGATAAAAGCTTGTTTTTACCACAAATGTAATCTGACTCAAGTTTTAGTTCACGGTTCATTTTAATGCCAAGGTTCGTAATGGTGGGCTTGGTGTACTGAGCCAGGGAACCCAGGTCTACATAGTGGTGCCAGTGGTGCTACCAAAAACCATTACTTCTGTTTTTCCTTCATTTAGTTTTAGAAAATTGCACGCCATCCAGGCCTTTATGTCCTCTAGACACTTTAGCAGTGGGCTAATTGAGTAACCCTCCTTCTTTTTTAGTGGGACATAAATCTGGCTATCATCAGCATAGCAATGGAATCAATCAACAACTTTACTAATCCCACAAGGGGAAATTGGTTATGAGCAGCAGTTTATGTCATGTACACAGGCAGGAACATACAGGAAGAAAACACACAGATACACCCGGGAGCACAGATGTGGATCATTCCAATTTACACTAAATAGTTCATAGCATCACAATAATAAATAAATAAATAATCAATGCGATGCCGTGCTTTCTAAATATGGACCCAAGAGGGACCAAATAGAGGGAGAATAGCAGGGGGCCTAATACTGAGCCCTGTGCGAACCCATACAGGAGTGGAGCAGAGGATGACTCGGAGTCACCAAGGCTGACAGAGAAAGTTCTGTCCTTCAGATATGACCTGAACCATTCCAGGGCTTTCCCCTCAATACCCACCCACTTCTCCAAGTGGGAGATCAGGGTGTCATGGTCGACTGTATCGAAGGCAGCAGTTAAATCAATAAGTAGAAGCACAACGCAGTCCCCAGAGTCTCTGAGACCTTCACCTCAGAGAACAGGTTGACGCTTGTTTGCTTAGCCTGATAAGATCAATCAGTCATAACAGAATTGCACAACATACAAAATCAGTACACTTTAGTTCATTACTGATTTTTGAAAAAAAAAAAAATTCGGCAACGTTACAACTTCTGTTTTTGCTCCTGATTTACTCACCATTTGATTAACAAAGTCCATCGTCTGATGAGTGTGCATCAGCTTATATGTGTTGAACACACGATCAATTAGATCTCCACTCTGAAAAACAGACACACACACACACACACACACACACACACACACACACACACACACACACACACACACACACACACACACACACACACAGACACACAGACAGACAGACAGACAGAGTTTTTCAGTACATTTACATACAATTATTTGTTTGGTTGGCATTTTCTGCATTACTTCATTAATGGAGATTCAGCTCTTTTAAAAAAAACACTTAGTGATTTTGATGATCAATGTTCAACATTTAGTTAAAAGATCTGTAAATAAACTTCTGGCCAACAGAGCAAATTAGGGATTATGCTCTGCTAATACAAACAGACTCAACTGAATATCTCTGTCTCTTTTTAGCCTCTTGATTTATTAACCCATTTTGTGCATTTGTCAAAAATAATCGTTCTCACCTCTTAATTAGATCATTTGACCATAAATGCATGCAGTATTGAATAACTATCATGATCTCAAGGGGAGATATAGATGCTTACCTCAAAGTTTCTGTAGCCTTCCTTCTCTTTGGTTTTATTTGTCTTCAAATTCGGCCGATAGGCCAGGGACGGATCTGGACCCTGAGAGCAGAGAAACAGAGAGCAGGAAACATTTTCAGGTTTTACAAAAATAGAAAAACACATATGCTTTCAAAATAATATGAAGTAGTAAATGAGTAAAAGTAAGAAGAGGGTCATTAAATATATTCTAAAAAGTAGTGATAAAATGGAAAGCATATCCTCTATGCATTCAGCCAAACATACCATGTTGATGACCCTCATGGCTGACAGATGATGTGTTGTGGTGTGTTGTTCCTCCTGCCTATATATATACTGCCGCTTTAAACGCTAACCGCATAAAGTGTACACTAGTGTCCGGTCACACTTTAACTAAAGCTATCTTAATGGGGTACACCCTGCTGAACCTTGGCCCTGAGTACGTGCGTCGTTGTGTCTGAGTGTGTGTTTTTTTTTTATGTGTATCTGAGAGAGTGTTTCTAAAGTCAGCAGTATTACCTGTTTGTACTGATCTAGGATGACTCAGTAATATTTTCTTATTTTTTCCATAACCTTCACATTTTTTCAAACAGTACATGTATCATATTTACCTGTATTAACACACATAACAAGAAAGTCACACACATATACATAACAACAACAAAGCTTTCTTGGTTTTAGTTTTATTTCTGGGTATTGACCCCATTACATAACACATACAACAGGATTGTACTGGAGTTCATTTCTTAGTATCAAATGCCCAGGTTCATTGCCTAAATTGATTAGGAGGAAATCTGTTCTGTTTGTTGGACCAGAGGTTACATTGACCAAAGTGTTGAAACAAGCCACAGTTGACACAAAATAAGGAACATTTGTTGACACCTTCCAATTGTAGCCATATTTGAACATTTAAAGTTACACACATTAGCTATCTACTGGACGAAGTTCGGCGCAACTCTCAAATCTGATTGGCCACAACATATTTGCACATCTTTCAAACTTGACACCTCCAGTATGCACATATGGGCTCAGAATATATGTAATAATGCATATATATGCACATATTTGTTTTCCGTTTAAAACCTCTGAACCTGCAAACACAAATATACGGCCGATATTCACTCTTAATAGTTTGATCGGTGCTCTCTATAAAGGCCGATCAGGAGAGCTGGATCCGATCGATATGGATATAAACGCGAGTGAAGTGTAACCGGACGCGAGAGAGAGATCAGATCAGCTGTTGAGTCTGACGGAGACACACAGCTCCATGGGAGCCTGCCTGCAGACCTCCACTTTCAGGACAGTTCCGGTGCAGGCTGCACTCTCAGGACATCTCCACTGTCAGTACAGGAAGTGACGATTCTGACGAACACGTTTTTTTTCCCACCCACCGAAGGACTTGTTTGATGGAAGTTTTCAAATCACAATGGAGACGTCCGCCCACCGTGCACTTTGGGTCTGCCTTGGTCAAGCCCTTTTGACCCCCCCAGCCTGGAGGAATGTAACGGGAGTTGACAGGGGACTCTGCCCGCCTCACGAGTGCCTATTTTCGGACACTTTTTTCACTTTCCCCCCTATTTCCCCCGGTTTTATTATTATTATTATTTTTGGCTATTTCACACGGTTTCTACCGGGGACATTGCCCGTCATCCATATATTAACGGATTTTGACCATTTTTGTTGCATTTTTCTCCTCTCCTCTCCTCTCACTGATCGAATGGCAAACGCGACCCACTGTCGGAGGGCCTCCGCGCCGGCCCGGCCTAGTGCCGGTGCTCTGGCGGTCGGTTCCTCCGAACTGCGGGTTCGACTCTGATGGCCGGGAGGGTGTGCTGCGTTGGGGTGGGGGACTTCCCCCACTCTGCGTGTCTCTTCCTTCACGGGTCCCGCAGCGGGGTGGAGGTTCCCAGCTGCAACCTCCCCACCTCCGCCGCGTATGTATATATATATATAGGGACACCTTGTATTGTAGTTAATCAGTACAGTATCACTTTTCATCACTTAGATTGATTGAACTGTTCTGCCCTTACTGTATCCCTATGCGTAGTTAGACAGTTAGCTAACATTTAAAAGTCCTCCAATAAAGATGCAAGGTTTTCTTTCTTGACTTTACTGTTCTTCTTTTACTTTG